TGGCACGAAGTTCTGTCAACATTTCAAAATGAATGAGGACATTTTTCCTTGCTTCCTGCACTTCATCATTTTCAATGCTACTAGCTGGATCTTCAAAGCTATTGCCACTTTGCGCGTGTTCACCTTTTCCTTTGCATCTTCTAATATTTGTTGAAATTTTTTATAATCTTCTAGAACTTCCTGAAATGCTCTATTTCCTCTGAATACCGATGGATGAGTTTTTTAAACATTATTTCTTCAGAATTTGAAATACCTTTTTCGATGTTTGTTTCATCTAGACCAAATTCTTTACTATTATCATTTTCTTCAAACATTAAATCTTCAAAATTCAAAATACCTTTTTCGATGTTTGTTTCATCTGGATCAAGTTCTTTACTAGTATCATTATCTTTAATATTATCTTGCATTTTAAAGGTGATAGGCAAAATTTTATAAAACGAAAATTTTTAATGAATTTATTTTGCCCAATTGTTTTCCAGCTATTTTTTTGTTTCTTAACAAAACTTGCATGTCAAAATGATTTGAATAATATCAAATCTAGTGGTCAGAGAATAGAAGGCTTTGGAAAACTTAAATCTTATCTGACAACCCCATGTTCTGGCACCATCTTATATTTTCATTTTAATTAATAAATATATCTCTACTAACAAACAGTGTACCTGCAAGGAAATTGTCTCTGATCACATTGAAAATATTTTTCATAACATTTGTATGATTAAAAAATACCAGAAAAATTAGAGCAGTATGTGTCATTGGACAATGTTCGAAAATAAATTTTAATGGTCATAATATCAAGTATTTTTTAACTATAATCTGTTATACTAAGACATTCATGACTTATATGAATTTTTCTTTGAATGGACGGCAACTCAGAATTTGTCCAATCCAGTTGTGACTAATTAACTCAAGATATTCCATGGTGTAATGGTTAAGATGCCTCGTGTGGACAGGATCGTGACTTAGAGCTCCAGACCGGTATCGTGCAGTACCGATGTCTATTTTCACTTAAAAGTATATATCAAAAAGATGTTTCCAATTGAAAATAACCCATTTTGGGCACTGCGGTGTAAAAAGGCAATGGGAAATCTTTCAAACTATTCTTCACTGAATAGAGTTGGAGTTGCTTATAAGAATACATTTTATATTGTTTAGAGTAGTAATAATTTATATTAGACTGTTAGTGGCTAAATGTAATTTAGAAGCCAATAAATACAAATAAAAAAAGAGAGTTGAAGTTTAACTCAGCTCACGGACTTGATACTGATACAACTAATGATTTAATAATAGCTTTGCTTTTTGTGTGTTTATTATTATATTTTGCGAACAAAAACATATTATTCAATTAAGTTCTGCATATACTGGACGATAATTTAAAGTCACCTTGAAAAGCAAAATGGCATGTCGTAATCTCCACAACGATTATTCCGCAGAAAAAATTGAACAAATTCAGCAGTTGTTTTTCATTAACTTACCGTAGGGCAAGTTATAGTAATCGCAAAAAATCGAAAATATTTTTTTTATATATCTTTACGTTTCAAAAGTTTCTGAATATTTTGGCATGCCTTAGAAAAAAATGAATGTATGTGTGTGTGTGTGCGGATACAAATTTTCGTCGACGATTTCAGGAACAGCGATCAACCGATTTGAATAATTCAAAAATATTCGAATCGTATTTATAAGGAGATGTGCTTTATTAGTTTGGCGGAAGCAGGTCTAGTCGCTCCGAAGATACGGGGCAAAAAGTGCCAAAAACGGTAACTCAGTTATTAAGAGAACGGGACGTCCGATTTTAATAATTCAAAAAACATTTTACATGTATTGACAAGGTGAAGAATTGATTTTTGGGAAGGCAGGTCCAGCGGTTATAGACTTTCAATAAAAATAAATTAAAAAAAAGTCATTTGGCGGTCCAAAATGTTTATTGAACATATGTACATCATACTATCAGATATTTTATAGAATTTTAATAATGTGTACACATTTTGTGTATGATTTTTTGCGTTCCGTACCAAGATTTTTAATTACGGTGCGGAAAGTTTTAGCAATTTGCCTTAAGGCACGATGCCATGCACCCACTAGTTTTTTTTTTATATAAAACGTATAACATGCATAAAACTCAAAATTTTCACCATCTTACAACAAACATCTATTTCGTTTGAATTGTTATAGTAATTACATCATATTTCTTCTCGATTTCTGTTAGTGAACGGTTTTGACTGAATTTCGATTGTTTTTTTAATCTTATGAAAAAACTCATTTTTAACTTCCCATAGGTTTTTTTTTTGTATAGCGAAGGAAATGCCTTTATGCATCCCAGACTGGTCTTCTGTCTGGGTATGTCGGACTCGATACCACCCTTCCCGTAGGGTAAGTTATAGTAATCGCAAAAGAATCGAAAATAATTTTTTTTCTGCATATCTTTACGTTTCAAAGGTTTCTGAACATTTTGGCATACCTCAGAAAAAATGGATGTGTGTATATGTGTATATGTTTGGTATAGTATGTATATATGTTTGGATACAATTTTTCGTCCGCGATTTAGGGCGCACAAATCAACGTATTTAAATGGTTCAAAAAACATTCGATCCATATTGATAAGAAAACGTGCTGATTAGTTTTTGGTGAAGACAGGTTTAGCCGTTTCGGAGATACGGGGCAAAAAGTGACAAAAACGGTAATTCAGTTTTTGAGAGTACGAAGTACTCGATTTGAATGATTCAAAAAAAATTTTACTTGTAATGACGAAACTTTTGGTAACGCAGGTATAGCGGTTTCGGAGATACAAAGGAAAAAGTAAAAAAAAAAGATATTTGGTGGTCAAAAATGATTCAAAATAGTTCCTGCTGGAATCAGCGCGCTTGGAATTCATTGAAAGTGTTTAAGATCATTGTTCTTCTGAAAACTTATTTGTTTCATGTCAAATGTAATTTACCGAATACGCATAAATCGCAGTTGCAACCGAATACTATGTCACATAAATGCCTCTACCCTCGATCACTGATCCGAATGTAATAATTTTCTATTTGAAGTAGGAAAGGGATTATATTATATTTTTCCAACAAACTATCCTACTCATAGATGGTTGCCAACATAAGTAGCTGTATGGCTAAAATCTCATTTAATTTGGACCGCTTCCAGAATTGTCTCACCTTATTGTGGGCATGTCCCTATAATAAAGATGACCCGTGTCGACTTGGCCAAATCTCGCTCCTTCGGCTGTGTTCAGCACGTGGGTGATACCAAGCAATTTCAAATAGTCCTTGCATCGGGCGCTTTCACTGCAAAATATTAAAATAAACGTATTAAATTCATATATAGACCGATAGTACAACTGTAGATTTAATTATTACAGTTTTGCTCTTGATTTGAGATACATTGGGTAAGCATTTAGAGATAAAATATCATGCGAAATGAATTTTTGCAAAAATCGACAAAAACTTTTTGCTTTGCAAATAAAGTGTGACGTAAAGAATACTAAAATTGCATATGAAGTCTGAGATATATTTGAAGAAAATTTTCACTCATATGAGATAAAAAATTCACGTCACACAGCATTTTTCAATCATATCTTCATAATTTTAACTTACAATGGGAGAAAATGTTTCTATCTATATATATAAAAATGAATGCATGCCTGTGTGTGTGTAATTGTTATGCATTCATAGATTTTCGAAAATTTAGATTGAAGCCAAGTGGTAGGGGTTGGCCGCCCCGAAGACTTTTTTAATTTTTTTCGACCAATTTTTTAATTTTTTTTATAATGCGTATAAAATACACATATAACTCTAAATTTTCAACTGCGTACGGCACATTTCTATTTTGTAAGAATTATTATAGTAATTATATCTGTTTTTCATAAACCATACGTCCGATCGCCGTGAAAATTTGGAAAATTGTTAAGTTAACCCCAACAGGTTTTCGGATATTTGGTTTGAAACCAAGTGGTAGAGGCCGCCCGCCCCGAAGACTTTTTATTTTTTCGGTCAATTTTTTTTTATATTTTTATAATACGTATATAAAAACACATAAGCCTAAATTTTTAACCCTTTACCACAAACACCTATTTTGTGAGAATTGTTATAGTAATTCTTTCTTTTTTAATTAATTGGTAATTGGTATACTAGCAGACTGGCAGTCAGGCAAACAGGTAAAACGGTAAATAGTTAAACAGGTAGATAGATAGATACGTAGAAAGATAAACAGGAAGACAGGTAAATTGGATTTGTATAATATTAGACAGGACAAATGGTAGACAGATAAACAGACAGGTTGACAGGAAAATTGATAGACAGGTAAAACGGGTTGACAGGTAAATTGATAGGTAGATAAAATGGTGGATTGATAAACAGGTTGATAGGTAAAATGATAGACATGTAAATTGTTGAAGAGGTAAATTGATGGACAAGTAGAGAGGTAGACAGGTAGTCGTATAGACATGTAGACTGGAAGACAAGAAAACTGGTAGACTAGATGTAACAAAAATATGCATTTTTGTTCAAATTTTCGATTGAAAATAAAACACGACGAATCGTGAATGGGTACAACTAAAATATATACCTACAAACTCACGCACACACACACACACTTAGTATTCATACACTCATACACATAGTATTAGTATTCATCACACTAAGTACATGTAAGTGTATTCAGATGTGTGTATAATGTATATTTACGCATTTATATTCTTGAATTCACGAATATGATCATATTATAAATTATTAATTTATTTCTTAAGAAATCAATCTATGAAATTATTCTAATATAACAGCAATACAAATTATTATAAATTTTGAAAATTTAAATTTCAAAAAATTGTGATTTTGGTAACTTTTTAAGTATTTCGTATATTATACGTTTTTTAATACAATTTATTTTATTGAAACCTTTCATTGAAAAAGCATGTGTTATTATCGTCTCTAATAAAATATGCTCTCTATGTAGTTTTCGAATTTTAATCTGTTCATTATTATATTCATGTAATATTTGTAAGTAATTTGCCTCAAGACACAATGTAACACACCATTAGTTATAATTTTAAAATACGTCAAGAGTACCTAAATATGATCTCATTATATAACTTTAAAACAAAATTTGTTGCGATGAAACTCTTTCGCATAAGACATGACATTGTGAAGAATGTTAGCAAAAACTGACGTATTTAATATTTGTTTATCAACATCAGTAATAAAATGAGCAATAATAAGAAAGATAAAGCGATTATTTTTCTTATCATGTTCGTATCAGTTAAAAGAATACACTTTATTAGAATTATGCACAAAAGTTTTGTACTGAACTTTATTGATACCATTAATATGTCATTTTGCAAAAGCCGCATTATGCTTAAATAAATTATAGTGCTGTGTAGATAATTTAGAAAAGAAATATCGAAGCGCATAAGCGCCGCGTTGCAGTCAAACGGATAAACACTGGTACGGAATCTATTAAAATATAAACAAAATTTGTTATTTATTATTTATTATTGAAATCTCCATAAAATATCTAATAGAAAATTTGATGTGTTTATGTCTAACGATAATTTTTTACGCCAAATGGTATTTTTTAACTATCCGTAGGGCAAGCTATAGTAATCGCAAAAAAATCAAAAATGAAAATTTTTATATATCTTTACGTTTTCAAAAAAAAGTAAGTTTTTGTCAAAAACTTAGTCTCTCAAAAATCTAATATTTTCAGAGTAAATTTTTTTCAAAGATGTTAATCTTTTTAAAAAAAATAATTTTTGGTCCGGGAAGTTTCAGCAATTTGCCATAAGGCACGATGCCATGCGCCCCACTAGTTCACTTTTTTTATTGGATATCAGAAATTGCTGGACCTGCCTACCTAAAAATTAATTAGATTTTCGTTTTGTGAATACAAATAAAATGATTTTTGAATCATTCAAACCAAACGCTTCGTTTTCTCAAAAACTGAATTACTATTTATGGCAATATTAGACCTGCCTTCGCCAAAAACTAATCAGCAGCTTTCCTCATCAATGCGAAGCAAGTATTGTTTCAATTATTCAAATCGGTTGATTCGTGTTCCCGAAATTGTCGACCAAAATTTGTATCCGCACACACACACACACTTCCATGCATCAATTTTTTTGTAAAATATGAAAAAAATTTCAGAAACATTTGAAATATAATGATATATATAAGTTTTCATTTTCTATTTTCTTGCAATTACTATAACTTACCCCGCGGAAAGTTGAAAATGAAAATCTATGGTTCCGTACCAAGATTTTTAACTTTATAATTTATGTATACGGTTCAAACAAATGTCCTCAACATTCTCGACAGTATGAAATGACCGATTTGTATGATTGAAAAATCATTTGGTTCGTATTCGATCGCGAGGCGTTTTTGCAGAAGACAATCTTGCCGTTTCGAAGGTATGGAGCGCAAAGGGTGTAAAAACGGTTTTTGAGAGAACGGATCATCCGATTAAATTAATTCAAAAAAAACATTTTGCTTGAGTAGTTTTTAAAAAAATTCAAAAAAAAATCTAAATTTAAAAAAAATCAAAGTTCCAAAAAATTCAAATTTTCGAAATTTTTCATCATTTTAAACAAAATGAAATTTTGAAAAATTTCAAAATATATTAAAATTAATAAAAAATCGATTTCTTACAAAAATTTGAGAATATTCAAAAAATCTCAAATCTCTAAAAAGAATTTTAAATTATCAAAGGAAAAACAAATTAATAAAATGAACGCTTACTTAGACGTAGAATATACTCGTCGCCCAATTTAAAAAGCTTATTTTAAGTGTTTTTTAAATTTTCAGTATGCATTTATAATAAATAATCTATTTGAAATTATTCAAAACAATTGTTGATTATTTTTATTTCTCGTTTGTTTAATTACAGTACGAGAAGTTCCAGCAATTTGCCTTAAGGCCATGCACCCCACTAGTTATATAATTGAAAAAGCTCATAAGAGCTTTACAATTTCATTACAAAACTTTTGAACAAAATCAGTGCGCAGTGTTGAAAATTCAATTTGCGATGAAATTCATTCGAAAATAACATTAATAACTAGGATTCCTCATAGAATATTTTTAGCGGAAACTGTGCTGATAAATCATTCTCGTGTGGTAATTTCATAAAATGGGATATTTTAAATTACTAAACTTTTCGAATTACGCTAACGACGAATACATGTTGAACATTATGTTGATGATAAAATAATATTCTCTTAATGCTAAAAAGAAATAATTTCAGTCCGAGTTAATTAAATGATAAAACATCGGTGTTATTAAATTATTTTAACGTCGAATCGAGTAACTTGCATACTGCCAGTTAGTCGTAACTTTGCATGTAAATTTTAAGTGGATTGAACATGCAAAGGTTTAGTTATAAAAATCTACAACATATAAATGAGTTGGTAAGAAATAGAACTCGTACACATATATTTCAAGCAATTACCATAAGTGAACAAACCTCGCAATACACACATTCATAAAAATATACATATAAAATATGTATATACATATAAAATATGTATACAGTAAAATTCATAACTAGTGGGGCGCATGGCATCGTGCCTTAAGGCAAATGGAACTTCCAGTACCAAAAATTACTTAAAAACGATTAACATTTTTGAAAAAATTTTACTTCAAAAAAATTAGATTTTTGAGAAACTATAAATTCGACAAAAAATTACTTCTTTATTTTGACATATTTTGGAAATTTTGAACTTTTTTTCAAAGCAATCGTACTGCTTTGACTGCATAGAGACGAAATGGATAAACATTGGTATGGAAACCATAGGAATGTAAACAAAATTTATACTTATTGTTAAAATCTCTACAAAATATCTCTTAATTTGATGTGCATATGTTTAATGATCATTTGTGGCCGCCAAATGGCATTTTTTTTTACTTTTTTCATTAGGTCTTCGAAACCGCGAAACCTGCCTTCATGAAAATTTGACCAATTCTTCATCTTGTTAATACAAGTAAAATGTTTTTTGAGTTATTCAAATCAGACGCTCCGTTCTCTTAAAAACTGAGTTACCGTTTTCGGCACTTTTTGCCCCGTATCTTTGGAACGGCTAGACCTGTCTTTTCCAAAAATTGGTCAGCACGTCTCCTTATCAATACGAATCGAATGTTTTTTGAATTATTCAATTCGGTTGATCGGTGTTCCCGAAATCGTCGACGAAAATTTGTATCCGCACACACATACACACACACGCATTTTTCGTTCACATTTTCGGGCGCACGGTTTTTGGTAAAGGCACTTCACGGGCGAATGATTAGTTTTTGGTAAAGGC